TATATATATATATTAGGCAGTGAGACAGGGCTAGGTTCTCAAAGAAGCCAGTGCAGAAGACAGGATGCACATTGCAGCTGTGGGGGATATGTCTGGGACAGAATGGCCCAATCAAGGCCCCATTTAACTCTTATTTGCTGTTCACATGACCTTGCCTCCTTCCCAGAATGTTAAACAATTCCTTTTAAGTAAATCTGCCCTCCCTCGTCTTCCCCCTATGCTCCCCAACATCCAACAGCCCCTAAACACCAACAGGGAATAGAGGCAAATGGGCTTTTAAAGCCCCACCTCGCCAAACTTATTCTGCAGCTGCGCCTGCTTTGGCCTCAGCTCCCTCTTTTGGCTCTAACTAGACTTAGGGTGCTTCCCAGGGCGCCCACCTTCCTAAATCCATTTGAGCTCATGTATGGGAGTCCTTTGGTGCTTCCCAACTTCCCCACTCCTGATAATCTTCCTCCCATCGCTCACTAGAACTTCACCTTCTATGCTTCCTCCCGTACCTGCTGCTACGACACATAGACGCCTGCCTCCCTGCCTCCCATAACCAACTCAATCAGCACCATCTTTATTTCCTGGAGATTTAATGTATCTTAAATCCTCTAAGTCTACAGGATTAAATCCTATGGGGACAGGCCCCTACCTGGTTGTCCTCTTAACAGCCACAGCGGTAAAAGTTGCTGGCTTGCCCTCCTAGTTCCGCATCGCCCAAGCCAAGTGGGACCTAGACAACTCCACTCCACCTGACAACTCTGCCCTTCCTGATCCTGAGTTCTTGTCGCCTGAGTGGTCTTCCTAACTCCCATCACCTACATGTCTCCGCCAAATTAAGAGTTCAAAAACTGCAAGGTAACTCTCGGGTTGCTTTCTCATCTGGTTTCGGATCCCCTGCCTTCTGGGAGTTCTTTCATTTGCCGCTGGACTCTGGACCATTTGCCCAGATGGCTCTCAGGTGCCACGTAAGACGTCTTCAGTCGCGGATGCAATCCTTTACTAATGATGAACTTCATATCCCAGCACTTGCTTCTACATGGACACAAACTGTCAGCCTATCCATCCTCCCCACACCCCAGAAGACGCCCCCCATTCAGCAGGAAGCAGTCTAAGAGAGTCATCGGCCTTCCAGCCCAAGTACAAACAGCTAAATTGTCACGGCCCTGATCCAACACGGCTAAATCCCTAAAACAACAGCGTATCTTCCCAATGACCACTTCCCCCTCCTCCCCGACCCCAGTCCTGGAGGCCTTTCCCGCACACACCGGAGCCCCAGTGAACTCCCTGTGTGTCGGGGAACCTGCCCCTCAGCCTCCGCCCCCAGCAGAAGCCCATACAGTCTCAGCCTTCCTGTCTCAGGCCAGAGGATACCCCCATCTCCCTCTGATCCTCTGTGTCCTCCTCAATGGCAATGAAGGCCTTTCCCTCCCTTTCTTTTACTTCTGTTTCTCTTGCCACGCCACTGAAAAATCTAATGCTTTTCTTTGAAAACACGCTGGGCCGCCTTGATTGTGTGCTGCTTGTGTTTCCTAAAATATGCTAAATATTTTGTTTTCAATTTGTTTCAAGGACTTCATGTCTAGGACAGACTGGCCCAGTCAAGGCCCCATTTATCTCTATCTTTACATTTGGTAGATGAGTTCTAAAATGACCTGAAGACCCCCACCTGGTGGTACTCAGGCCTTTGTGTAATCCCCTCCCCTTGAGTTTCTGCGCTCTACTGTCTGCTCAAAAGGCCTTGCCCCCTTCCCAGAATGTTAAGCAATTCCTTTTAAGTAAATCAGCCAGACAAAATAGGACAGAATTTTTGTATTCCACACAACCAGTCATGCAATAATCTGCTATCAGTGTTGTGCTTCCCATTTGCAAGCCATATTCTGGTTTTAGCTTTTTTTTTTAATTTTTATTTTTTATGTATTTTTTATTCATTTTAATGAGAAAAAAGATAAAATAGCAATGAAACAGTTTCAAAATCGGTTAATAGAACAGTTACAATAATTAGTACATTGCATATTGTTGTCTTTGTAGTAGTTATTCAGAGGACAAGATGTAGACATGATAGCTTGTCCAAACAAGTTATATTAGTAGCAAGCCACGGTTAAACAGAACTCACACCTGATTCTGGGCTGGTGATTTGCACCTCTGGATTCCCCAGCCTGCCAGCACGAGAAGAGTTGACTTCTAACTCCTCAGTGCAGAGTCTGCCCTCTAGATTGACACTGGTTTTTCTGTTACAACTTCATAAAATGGATGTCTATTCAGGAAAATAATTTTAGTTTAGAAGAATTTTAAATATACTTTGAGTAGATTTTCTGAACTTGATTTTTACTAACAAACCAGGTGGTGGGGACCCCAAATGTATCTAGGTCTTAATTTCCAGTACTTGTGAACGTGATCTTACTTGGAAATAGTAGATGCAATTAAGTTAAGATCTCAAGATGAACCACTGTAATCTAGGGTTGGCCCTTAATCCTATGACTTGTATCCTTATAACAGAAAGAGGAGGTGCTGGGTGTGGTGGCACATGCCTATAATCTCAGCACTGGGAAGGCTGAAGCAGGAGGATGTTTCGAATTCAAGACCAACCTGGGCTGCAAAGTGAGCTGAAAGCCAGCCTGAACTACACAGCGAGACCCTATCTCAAAAAGACGAAAGAAGGAGGGAAAGGGAGAGGGAGAGAATTATAGACACAGAATTACAGAATTACTGGGAAAAAGTATACGTAAAGAAGCAGAGATTGGGGTTGTATCTGGCCCCTGCACCCTTCCTCTCTGGTTCTTCCTCTTCTCTGTTCCTGCAGGCAATGATTGAGGGGGTCCTTGACTACGCCCTTCCAAAGTGATGTATCTGCCTTGGAGTCAGTCAACCATGGGCTGAAACCAGGAGTCAAATACACATTTTCCTCCTTTAAATTGTATTTGTCAGGAGTTTTGTCCCAGCAAAAGCTGTCTGATGTAATACTCAAGTGGAGGGGATTACACGAAGGCCTGAGTACCACCAGGTGGGGATCTTCAGGTCATTTTAGAACACATCTACCAAATTTAAAGTTAGTCTTCTATGCCACTATCCCCATTCATTGTTCTTAGTTACTATGTATTTGGGGCCCCACATAACCAAAATGCTGCCAGCCCCTTAAGTTCATACCCTTAGTTCATTTGCTTGCTGCTGACCAAGCCAAAGGAGGCCATATTTTTTTTGTGTGATAAGAAAAAATGAGAGGATTTGTTCAAAGCTAGCTCCAAGGAGATGAAAGAAGCCATTTGCTTCAAATCACCAGCTCACCTTGTACAGATGGGCCAGGGTCTTGTATGGTAAGGACAATGGGGAAGGCACAGAGAGGCAAAGTAGAGTTCCACACCCGCCTTGTCACTTCCAGATATCTTCACCCCTCACTCCTCTATCTTGTGCAAAGGGAGTACTGGGAGGGGGCAGGTGGTGTCTGCATGTTCAGTCATTTCGGGGGCTGTGGAGAGGAGGGAGTATTGGCTACGTGCTCAGCCTGACAAAGTTTGGGGAAGTTATTTATCTTTAGAAGAAAAAATAAGTCTAGTTTTTTTAAAGTTTTATTTTGCAGGGCCAGTTACAAAACTGTGACTTAACATTTTATTTCTCACCAAATACTGTATGAATAAGGCTCAAGGGGAATCTGTGGGGAATCACTCAGACTGCTTCAAAGCTCAAAGTCTAAAGACACCGCAGGCTGTGACCCCTCTGGCCCAGGGCAGGTGCACAGCAGGACACGGTTATGCAACTGTTACTTAGCACTAGTAAACACCCACGCACTGGCTATGGGACTCTGTAAGAATGTAAACAGGAGATAATAACTGTGATGGCCTAAACCCAGACTTTTAGCATAGGTATTGCCATGGTAAACTTTAGGTGACCCCAGAGTTGTAAAAGCAGGCCTACCATACAGAGAAACATACCCTGAGAAAGCTGCTGACCCTAAAAAACTTTAGCTGACCCCAGAGTAGTAAAAAACAGGCCTATCATATGGAGAAAAATATACCCTGAGAAAGTGCTGACCCTAAACAATGACAGGAACAAAAGTAGCCAGATGTACAGCCAAAAAAATCTGTTCGACAGGCAGGATGGGTGCTAATGTAACTGTTTGACAAGCAAAATATATTGCATATTCGCCTTATATACACGCCATGTCTTCTGGTCAGTACTACTCACTTAGACTCTGAAATAGGTCTATGCTGAGGGTCGCTGAGCTCAGCTAATAAAAATCTACAAATTTTAATTGGCTACTTGGATTCCGATATTGATTATGAACCCACAACTACAACCTGCATGGGAATTACACAATAATGCCACAGGCGGACCTTGCTCGGGCTCTTTTGCTCTGCTCTGCTCCAGGCTGTGTGCTGTTGTTGCCAACGTCTTCCACAACTGCCTGGTTTAACTTTAAAGAGACCTCATCTTGGAAAATCTCCTTTGGGCCTCTGAGCAGCAAGCAGAGTCAGTAATGATTCCAAGATTCTATGACTAATATAGAGTGGAAGCTAAACTTGAAGCTAGGTCTTTTACTATACCAGAGCTGTTTTATTTACTTTTTTTTTTTTTTTTTTTTTTTTTTTTTTTTTTTTTTTTTTTTTTTTTTTTTTTTTTTTTAACTTATTCTGGACTTCTTAAATTGAGAAAATAAGCTTTGGATTTAAAAAAGAATTACTCCCGATTATTATTATTACTTTCCATCAGATTCCAACTTTGTCATATAGCCCTGAGATATGGGTGGTTTTTGACTTTTAATAGGTAAGCAGAAACAAGATTAGGTCATCGTAATGGCGAAACCTGCTTTTCAGCTAGCAGATTTTTTTTTTTTCTTTTAAAAACAGGGCCTCCCTTAGGCGCAAGGCACTTCGGGAGTTGTAGTCTTTAGTCGGTGACGCCTACTCAGAGAGACCCAATCAACAACGAGCCAGCTGCTTCCCGCTCAGCGATTGGCTTGAAGTCACAGCGGCCCGCCCCAACGCCATCGCCCGTCCTCCGGTGGAAGCAGAGAAGGGGAGCGTGCAGTGAGCGAGCGGAGTTCTGTGCTCTGTCCCTGATCCTTCGCTGTGGCCATGGCCGAAACTCAGCCCGCGAGCGGCGGCCTTACTGACGAAGCCGCATACGGTTGTTGCTCCGACGCAGACCCCAGCACCAAGGTGGGCACGGGGCGTCCCGCGTGGCCACCGGAGGGAGCGGATCCTGGGACTCAGCCTCGGCTGGGCGGGGGAGACGGGATTCGAACCCCGTGCGGCCATCGATCACTGCAGGCAGGCCGGCGTTGGGCGGACCGGAGTGAATTGGAAAGAAGGATAATGGAGTCGAGTGCGGGCAACCGTGCGGACTTGCGAAGAATGTCATTCAGATTGCTTCCAAAAGACTGCGGCCCAACTTTCATTCACTTGTTTATTTTGGGGAGGTATCTGGAAGCCAGGCCAAATCAGGGTCAGGTTCCTTGTCTGTGGGTATGCGTGTTCCCCAGCTGATGGCCTTGGCCGAGAAGGAGAGCAGTTTCAGAGCTCCCACTCTTAGGCCCCAAGATCCCTGGCTCTGCCGGCCGGTTTTCGTAGCCTCCCTTACTTGCAACAGCTCAACTCGGAACTACCGGGAGCGCGCCTTTGCTTGGCTGTGGCTGTTGCTTACGAAGTGTGACGCGGTGAAGCGTGGGGGAAGCCCAGACCTAAAGGGAATCTTAGAAATGCCCTGTCTGAACCGGTCGTTTTAATAGGTGTGACTCAGAGTAATGAATTGGAAGAGGGGATGGTTGCCATTTTTGGAGTGTTCTCCGTGGCTTTTTTCTTTTTCTTAGCTTTTTTCTTCATTTTATGTATTTGGTGCAGGGTTTGACTACGCAGCTCGGACCCTTAGTCCGATCCTCCTGTTCCAGCCTCCCCAGCGCAGCGACTACAGGCGCCAGCCACCACGCCCGTTCTTGGTGGCCAACTTGATGCACCCGGGGCAGGGCCACCCAGCATGCTGTACCAGGGATCGAACCCGGGTCTATGCGCTTACCTAGGCAGGTGTTTAGACCGCTGAGTTAGCACTGCTGTCTTCTGTGACTTTTTTCAATCCAAGCTCAGTGATCTTGTTGCTTTATAAACTTTTTTGTAACAAAAAAAAAAAGGGGGGGGGAGGCCAAAAACTATTTGTTTCAATTCATTGCAAGCACAGAGTGACTTCCTAGTATTGTTTGTAACTGTTCAACAGGGTAGAGCCAAACCCACTGAATGCTGGGTCAGCGCACATTTATCAAGAACTAATTTCTACAACAGACCATTGGGAGAGCAGGCCAGGCTGAGCAAAGCAACTCAAATATTCTGAAAACATGGGCTGTCAGAGCCAACTGCCTTATATATGATAACAAGATATAATAGAGGTTTTAAAAAACTTTATTTTGAGACAGGGTCTCACTGTGTGGTGCATGCTGGGCTTCACCTTACCATGTAGACCAGCTGGTTTGAACTCGCAATCCTGCTTTAGCTTTCCAGGGGCTGGGATGACAGGGGTGGGGCACCACACTTGGTTAAGTCGTAGTAGTTTTGGGCCGGCCAGATAGCTCAGTGGATTAAAGCGCCTGCTTTGGCAGAGTGCAACGACTCGCGTTGGACGTGGTGGCGCGTGCCTATAATCCCAGCACTTAGGAGGCTGAATTTAGGAGAATTACTATGAGTCTGATCTATGTAGTGAGACCCTGTAGACTCTGTAAACCCTGCACTAAATACATTTTTTAAAAAAGATAGTTTTTAAGCTAGTTTTGTTTTAAATGAGAATTTAATGTTTTAAAGTTAGCAAAATAGAAGAGTGTCATTTCCCAACAGTACAGAATGAATAAAGTATTTATATGATGTGAGTTGTAGGGAAAAGGTAGCTATGCAGCTTCGAAAGGAGTGGTTCAATTTTCAGATCTTTTTTGTCAAGCCCATGGCTGTGACAGTACAACCCGGGCACTGATGAGATTAAAGGTTCGTGAGCTAAAGCTTCTGCAGTTAAAGTGTCTTGGCCTGAATTTGGAATCAGGTGGCTTAGACAATTAATGACTCGGTGTCCACTTCTCATTTATAGAGTGGGAATATTGCTACCTATAGATAGGAATGCATCACAGGGATTCTGGGCCCCTAAGCAATGCTGATCATAATCTTAACTCCCTGAATTTATATATTCTCTACCCTTTTATCCTTCACACCTTCTGTTTCCTGATGTGGGAATTGAAGGATTTCTCAATGCTGTTAAGAGACAGTAATTTAACTTTTTAGTTCTTTAGGAGTCTAGGATCTTTTTCCTCACTAATTTACATAGTCACCAGTAAATATTTCGGGGAGAGGATTTACACATTGATTCAACAAATATTATAGTGGTTAAACTTAGTCTTATCATTGTGGGCAAGTGGAGTCCAGTCTGGAGGGGAGTCTCTGAGGAACTGTAGAAGGTGTGTCAGAACTTGTGTACTGAGGAGTGAGGAAGCCTGACTTTTATCCACAATTTTTTTTTTTTCCATTTATGTATGTGGTACAGAGTCTCACTACACAGCTCAGACTTGTAGTGATCCTCCTGCTTTCAGCCTCCCCAGCGCTGGGATTACAGGCATACACCACCATGCCCGGACTCAGTCGCCGGCTCGGTGCACCCCTGCGGTGGGGCTGGCGAGGCATGCAGAACCAGGTATCGAAACGTGGCTCCTGCATTGCCAAAGCAGGCGCTTAGTCCACCGAGCTATGTCACCGGCCCTTATCCACCATCTCTGAGGGTCATTCCTGGCATTTCTTGGTGACGTGAACTGGTTATGTAGACCTAGGTTGGCCTCAGTCTTGCAGCCCTTCTTCTGCCTCAGTCTCTGAGTGCTGGAATTATAGGTGTGCGCCCCCAGGCTTGGCAGTTTTTGAGCTGACCCTCATGGGCCTGCAACCAGAAAATGCTGGTGGAGAGCCACAGGTTATAGGTGATAGGCATGCTGTTTTTTTATGGAAGGCTGTAAGTACATGTGTTTTGTTTTTCTTAACATTGTGTTGTAACAGTGAACTTTTTTTTTTTTGTGGTGCTGGGGATTGAACTTAGGACCTTGTGCTTGCCAGGCAAGCACTTATTCTACTGAGCTACCTCCCCACCCCACGCCTTTTTTTTTTTTTTTTTTTTTTAACTATTTGTATATTGTTAAGAACAGTTAAGTGTTGCCAAGAAGTGACAAAAGTTGAAGGTATTTAATATATATGCTGTTTGTCTTTAGGATTTTTTGTTGCAGCAGACTATGCTACGAATTAAGGATCCTAAGAAATCACTGGATTTTTATACTAGAGTTCTTGGAATGACGTAAGTAAAATATATATTAGCACTTAATACTTAAATCAGTAGTGCCGCTGATAGAGGGATTGTGTCCACACCCACTTGGAGTTTGTTTCAAAAATAATAGAAGTTCCTTTTGGCCAGGAGTCTGCAAGAAGTCCCGACCAGATAGGGCTTAGGAAAAGTTCCTTTATTTTGGCCAGGCTCAAATACATTTTCTTCAAATTCCCTTCTCAGTGAGAGGTGCCAGTTGACTCTTTAATATGTTCAAGCCCTTTTTGATATTCTGACCAATTTTAGCCTGTTGAGTGGGTTGTTTGTTTGATTTCTTAATTTCTGGGGACTGAATCCAGGACTTTTACACTGAGTTACATTCCCAGCCTTTTTTTTTCTTTTTAAAGAGAATTTAAAAAATAACAATAAGTAAAAGCAATGTGGAATTTCAAAACAAGATGATAGGAAATTAACAGTGATTGGGCTGAGGCTATAGCTCAGCAGCGTAAGCGCCTGCTTGGCAAGTGCAAGGTGCCAAGTTAGATCCCTGCTACCACACAAAAATTAAAGAAATGTGATTGTTATGTGGAATATTGTTATCTTCAGAGTAATTGCTTAGATTATCAGATATATGTATGCAAAATTGATCAAACAATTAAGTATTAACTGTACCTTTCAATAAACCAATAGGTTAGTAGTATTCTCTTAGCTATCTTATGAATGTGCGTATCTCCCCCACCTTCTTTCTTTCCTTTTTCCTATCCCCCACTCAGTTGGTCTTTTCTGTTGAGTTTCTTTCCTTTTAACAATATCTATTGTACTTTTTGGATTTTATTTACTCTTTCAGGTTCTTACACTAGGGAGACGGTGTGATTTTTACACATGCGGGTCTGATTTGTTTCACTCCAAGACATTTTTAATATTTGTTATTTGAGACAGGGTCTCACTGAATCTCTATGCTGCCCTGCCTCAGCCTCCCAGGGTATTGTGATTGTAGGCATGTGCCACCACTTGGCTTAGCCTGTTGTTTACTTCAGAAAATGTAAATATAAGGACAAATAACACAGAAAGGGAATGAGTTCACTTAAAAGCACCAGTTTCACTTTTTTTATAGGCTATATCCTCTTTTGCTAAACAACCAGTGATCTCATAATATTCAAAACGCATTTATGTTTCTTTTTTCCTCCATTTTTGTTGAAGTATAACTGACAGTTTTACTTTCCTTAGCTCCTTTCCCTTAATAATATGGGCTTCTAGTTTGCTTTTGATAGTATGTGTATCTATGTAGAATAAATGCTTCATTTACCATCTAGAGGGGGACCTGCCCAGTAGCTCAGTTGTTTAAGTGCCTGCTTAAGCAAAGCCCTCAAGCTCAAGCTTCTGGGGTTCCAACCCAGACAGTCACTGCAAACCAGAAATGCCCTAAAGGCATTTCGAGCCTCCAAAAAAAAAAAAAAAAAAAAAAAAAAAAAAAAAAAACAAACCCTTCTACCATTTACCATCTAGATTGACACTGAGGGAACAATTTTAACCAATATCTATATGTTTAGAAAATTTGACCTGTTCAGAAAAATGCAAAAGGCAAACTGATGATTTTGTTCCCCTTTCCAACTCAAAGATAACTGCTAGTAATAGTTTCTTGTGATTCTTTGAAGAAATTTTAAACAGGCAGTATTTGGGGCATATTGAAAGGGAAGGGGAAATGCGGCACACCTGCTCTTTGCCAGGCGCTTGTCCTGTCCTTGTGTTGAGTCTGCACAAGGCCTTCGTGGTAGCTAATAACCCTATCTTACAGGCAAGGAAACCAAAGCTTAAAGATCTGAGGTTATTGGTCCCAAAGCCTGCAGTTGGCACTTGGCACAGCTGGGATCGGAACCCAAGTCCAGTTGAGCTCAGCGCTCGCTCACTTGGTTTTGAAAGAACCCTGCAGTAGCTTGCTGCTTGCCAACAGCCTGGGGGACTTGCTCTGCTGAGAAAAACCATTTGCAATAGGTTCCGTTGCTTTAATTCTCCGGATTGGTCATAAGGTTTATACAGTCTGCTTTAGCAGGGTGCAGGGGTAGTTTTTCAAAACTGGAGGTGTGAAGTGTTGGTACTTTAAACATACTGGGGTAAATCGGATTTGTGATGTCAATGGCCAAGCTTTGATAATGCCATAAAAGATTTGGAGCAGAGCTCTAGAAACACTTTTGCTGAGCCGAAACCAGTTATTTTCTCTTGTTGATTATTAATAAGGTCATCTTTGAGCACTTAATCCTCTGTAATCTTTAAAAAAATGTAATTTTATACATTTTTATTCTTCCTTATAAAGTGTAAACTCTAAACTTTTTAGGCTGTACCTTTCGTTGTCTTTTTTAAAACCTCAGGATTAGAGGTTCATGCACTGTCACACATCAGGTCCCTCCTTTCCTACTGAGCTTTGCTTTCAACCTACAGCAAGCATAAATCCTCTCAAATGTCTCCTAACCCCCGGCCCCCAACCCATCATCGCCTATTGTCACCAACTGTAGGGACAGACCGCACTTGGTGCTGTTTCTCTTGCTCGCCTTCCCTCTGCCCTCCTGGCCCCGTTGCTGACTTTGTTGTCATATGGCCTTTCTGTAGCTCATGACCTTTTCTAGTCTATTTCTATGTCTCTGCCTGGAGGCCCTGATTGGAATTCAATCTTTTCCGCTGGCTTGCGCCACCAGTGGCACACACGCATGACTGTCCCATCTCGCAGCTTGGACCCTTCGCTCCTCAGGGGGTCATTGATTAGAAGAATGCAAAGAAAGGCATTGATTTAGTAGACCAGATGTCATCATATTACAGTTCCTTAAGGAAAACTTTAAAATAGTGTAAAACATTGTAATATACCTTATTTATGGTATAACCATTGTAAGTGCTTATTATATACACCAGTAATGGGGTACTTGTAAGATTTCCATGTTAAAATTTAAGGAAGAATTAATTATTGATAAATCAGTTTGTGTGTGTGTGTGTGTGTGTGGTACTAGGGATCGAACTCTGGACCTTCTACTTGCCAGGTTTTTTTTTTTTTTTAAAATTAGTTGCTTTTTTTTAAATTATTTATTTATTTTTATTTATTACATTTATTTATTGTGTGTGTGTGGCCAGCTCAGCCCACCAGGGGGCGCGGCTGGCTGGCATGTGGTGCTTGGGGGATTGAACCGCGGTCCCTGTGCTTTGC